AGCTGTTCTGCTGCTTCATCGACTCCTCAACCACGTTGCCCACCTCGCGAGCCATCGACGCCCTGCCGCAGATGTACATGTTGGCGCCGCCCTGGAGCAGCTCACATACATCCTTCTTCATCTCGCCGACCTTGTCCTGTACGTAGGACTTGGAGTGGCTGTTAGACCTCGAGAAAGCGGGGACGATTTCAAGGAGGCCGTCCAGCTCCTTGGCTACTGAGGCGAGCTCCTCGCGATAGAGGTAGTCCTGGTCCGGGGAGCGGCAGCCAAAGAAGAGGATCATGCGACCAATGGGCTTTCCAACGGCCTTGAGACGAGCACGCTCGAGGATGAAGCCACGGAAGGGAGCCATGCCGGTGCCGGCACCAATCATGACGAGGGGGGTTGTCCCAAGGGTAGGGAGCTTGAAGTTTGAGCGACGAATGCAAGCAAAGACCTTGTGGCCCTTGAGGGTATCGCCAGGGCCCGAGAGAGCGTAGGTGGGGGCGTCGGGGCCAACTTCTGGCTGGGCAGCGTCGCCGTTGAGAGAGTTTCCGAGGGCATAAAGGTAGTTTGTGGTAACGCCACGGATGGCCTTGGTTGCGTCGGCTTGGAGGGGGGAGTTGTCGACGCCGACGGTGATGGCGACCTTGCGGGCGGAGACGGCGCTGGATGAAGAGATGGAGTAGTATCGGGGCTGGATTGTAGGAAGAGTCTCCACGACGTAGGTCAGGGGGAGGTTGGTCCAGACAGCACCAGGAGCAGCCAGTGCCAGGAGACGGCCTAGAGTGATGTGGTTCTTGCCAATGAACTCGGCATAGGCTTTCTTGTCCTTTCCAAGGGTTGCCAGAACGTTGGCAACCTCTGGCGAAGGGGCGAAGCGAGCGAGGGCACCGACAGTCTCACGAGAGACAGGGGCAGACACTTCGAGGTAGTGACGGAAGACAGCTAGCAACGAGGTAGGACTGGGGATCTTGATGGACTCGCCCTCCTCCAGGGCTCGGATGAGAAGAGGCGTCTCGGCTCGCTGCTCAAGTCCCAGTGCCTTGAGAAGGAGCTGCACCTCGTGATCAGGGTTGATGGGATACACAGCGAGGTGGTCTCCAGTTCGGTAGCGGAGCTCAGCCTGGTCACTGAGGTCCAGCTCCATGTGGATACAGTTCCTGCCGGGGGACGTGTAGAGCTCACGCGACTCCTGCACTGTTAGGGGTCTAATGGGCGAGTACTGCTTGACGATCTTGGCAGGGCCGCTGCGGTTCTGGACGGGCTCGCCAAGGTTGAGGTCCATGATGTCGAGGGACTCGTCCTCGACGATCTTGATGCTGGGCTCGTAGGGGATGTCTCGCTCCTCGTAGCCGAGCTTCTCCTGGAAGTGCGTGTAGAGATCATCCTTCCACGAGAGGAAATCTTCTTCGGTGCCGCCTTGGGCGTCGTTGGCCTTGCCCACGGGCATTAAACGCTGAGCGCCGGCCTTGTCAAGGGCCTCAGCCACGACATCGATGACACGGTTGTAGTAGCGGTAGCTGCTGTTTCCCAGACCAAATGCCATGTAACGGAGGTTGGGAAGCTTGATATCAAAAGGTCGCTTGTTGAGCCAGTCCCAGAGAGCGGCGGTGTTGTCGCTGGGGTCTCCCTCGCCATAGGTGGAGATAATGAAGATGGCGAGCTTGCTCTGGGGGAGGTTGGCAATGGAGTCTGGATCGTAGTCGCAAAGGTCGGCGCAGAGGGTCTGGAGGCCGAAGCGAAGGTGACACTCCTTGGAGAGTCTGTTGGCAAACATTTCTGCTGTGCCGGACTGTGAACCCCAGAAGATGACGACATCCTTGCCCTGCCGAGGTGTTAGAGTTGGTGGTTTAAGGGACATGGGGTAGACGTACACTCTCTTCCATCTTCTTGGCAATATCACGGGTCGCCTTGGGTCTTGATGCTGCACCATCCTTGGACCCCATGCGTTCGTACCAGATGTAATCGTACGGGTCTGGTCTGTCCCATGCGATGCCACGGAGGAGATAGGCGGCCGATGCCACGCCGACTGCAGTCAGTGCAGCAATGTCGGCGACAGTCTGGGGTGGCCCCAGTTGGGACAGGGCATTTGCAGGAAAGACAGTAGACATGATTGAAAGAGTTCAATTGCCCTTGAGTTGAATGAGTCTATCTTGTGCTGAAGAGAATTGAATCGAGAAGAGGAGACTGGATATTCATATCCCAAGACGATGCCCCACGATGTCGCCTCTCTCCAAAGATGGAGAAAAAATCCGGGGGTTCTCTCATGACGGAAAATGGGTCCTTCAAAGTGTCAAAAATAACATCTCGAGTTTCTCTGAAAGTAACAACGACGTTGGGGTTGATGGAGGGTGGGATTGGCCGGAACTTTTTGCCCTCTTGGTCCTTCTCGGATTCCCTCGTCGCCACTAGAGACCGTCTCAAAAGGGAAACTTCCTTATCGGGAAGCCATCTCCTTCGCCGGGCGAAAGCGAAGCGTGAACTAACATGCGGGAAATCTAGATGGAGTCTAGATCTGTGGGGTTTAACGCGGGGAAGAACGACATTGCTGACGACATGAGAGGCTCGCAAGTGCCGTCTGGCCCCTCTTGTCCACCATCGCTTTGGTATCCGAGACGTGGTGGCCAACTAACACGGAGAATGGCCGAGTGAGAGGGCTGGAGTTGAAGGCATACAAATGGTCCAGACTTTGCTCCGCCAACTTTCCTAAACTAGCGATTACTTTTTTAAAGATTGCTTTCTGAAGATAGTTATGGCAAGTGAGCGATGTTGTCTCGTTTCTTTCTCCTTCTCCCCCACCAAGTCCTTTCGGACTCGCCTCATTATGCAAAGACCCAGCGATTGAACGAACGGAAGAGATGGAAGATGGAGAGTATCACACTGGGATATAATTCAGGCCTCTTGGCCAGAATTTGCAATCTCTGCCATAATCTCCCACAACCGCCATCATGTACGCAGAAGCAGTGGTCATCTTCACAGCCGCCTCCCTAATCACCTACTTCATCCTCTACCCCGTCATCGAGTACCTCCGCGATGCAAAAGGTCTCAGACGATATCCCAAATTCCACCCGCTGGCGGGTATCTCCAACCTCCCGTTTGTACGCGAGGCCGCCCGTGGGTTCCGGTCCAAGACTCTGTACGAGATGCACAAGGAGCACCCCGTGATCCGCACGGGACCCAACTCTCTCTCGTACGGTTCTGTCCAAGCCATCAAGGACATCTACGGCCACGGAACAAAGTGTCTCAAGGGAGAGTTTTACGAGACTCTTGCTGGTTCACACTTTCACCTCGCCGATGTGGTTGACAAGGCCGACCACGCCCGCAAGCGACGAGCCCTGTCTGCGGCATATGCTCTCAAGAACCTCGAGAATTGGGAGTTCAAGGTCGCCGACAAGACGGAGCGCTTCATCCGTGCTGCGGATGCTGCGTGTACGCTGCCTCTCAAGAAGGGCTTTGTCCGACCGGACCCTACGGACCTAACGTTTGACTACCGCGCTTTCACCAACTTTTTCACACTCGATGCCATTGCGGATATTGGTCTTAGCGAACGACTAGGCTTCCTTGACCAAGGTCACGACCTTGTCAAGGCTGAACGTATGGACGGGACCATTCACGAGGTCAACTACCGCGAGTGTCTCCATTCAACAGCTCGCGCCCAGTCTATTCTCGCCTGGACAGAAGGGTGGTACAACTTCAACGTCGAACTGTCGAAATGGATCTCGGTAGACTTTCGCAAGTGGTGGCACCTCAACGAGGGCTGGAACGACATCGTGTACCATCGAGCCACACAACGTCTTGAGCGATATAAGAAGGGTGAGAGACTGCCCGATTTCTTCCAGGCTCTCATGGATCACAGCGATGCCAACCCTCCTGGTCTCGAGTGGGGAGAGATTGTTGCCGAGGTGTCCATCATGATGAATGCTGGCTCTGACACGACAGCAATTGCCATGAACAATGTCATGTACTGGCTGCTCAAGAACCCGTCCTGCATGGCCAAGCTTCGTGAAGAAGTCGACTCTGTCCTCGAGCCGGATGAAATCGTCGCTCCCTACGACAAAGTCAAGCATCTTCCCTACCTTCGAGCCTGCCTCGACGAGTCCCTCCGCATCACGCCTCCTACGACCTTTGGCCTTCCTCGCCGCACACCCCCTGAAGGCTGGAACATTCTCGGCGACTTCATCCCCAGCGATACAACCGTCTCCATCTCAGCATACGTCACACACCGCGACCCCAGCATCTTCCCCGAACCCGAGTCCTACGTACCTGAGCGCTGGCTCGGCGAACAGGGAAAGGACCTCCAGCCGTACTTTATCGCCTTTAGCGCTGGCGCTCGCGGCTGTATCGGTCGCAACATCAGCTACCTAGAACAGACGGTGTTGCTGGCGAGCGTCGTACACCGATACGAGTGGGCGCTGCCGTACCCGGAGTGGGAGCCTGAGAGGAGGGAGGCCATGAACCTGTCGCCTGGGCCGATGCCGCTCAAGGTTTGGCGCCGGGAGTTGGAGGTGGAGGAAAAGCAAGGATAGAATGTCATATGATTTGATAGAGATGGCGTAAATCGAAGCCTTTATGTTGGGTCACGTCAATTGTCGAGATACTGGCCGTACCGAGTTGCCTTGGTGCGCTCACAGGAAGCTGGTAATGGAGATGCGACTCGTCAATTCTGGTAAATGTAACAATCTGATATTCAGGTTTGACATCCAATCACGTCTTAAGCTGCATAACGTCAGTAACAAGTGGTCGTCATCCGGTGCTCCATAAATAGGGGTCGGTGATAATGCCGATGCAGGAAACCCCAATTACAGAACACAATGCACAGTCAAAGCGGATCTTAGGTATCATGAGAGCACCCATTAAACCCAATCAATTCAAGGAATCTGCCCACGCCTTCAATGCCGCTCCCTCATGGTAACCAGTTGCGCCTCCTCAGCCCTCAACACCAGACTATGCCGCCCAAGTATCGTGACATTCAAAGAGAACTCAGATATTGCCAGAAACATTCATAATCTTCATGACCATTAAACCAGCTGCATGCTGTTGCTATTCAGCATCCCCGCAATCGGCATCCCAGCGATAGGCATCTCGGTGTTTATGATTGCTGGTGATTCCGTCCAGCCCCAGGCTTCCTTCAAATACTGTTGCCTATACAAACATCAGCAACCTCATCGTCTTTGGCCGTGACAGTAGACCTTACGCAGATCCAGTCGGCCAGCCAGTCTGCACATCCATCTTCTGTAAAACTCGATAGAGAGCTTCTTGCTCTTGCGGGTCTGTGAACCGGTCACCAGCCATAGTAATAGCCAGGCTCACATATCTGCAGACAAGTTGTCAGCTGATTATTCAACTCGGAGCGTTCGTTGGGGACATACGCATATACGGTAGCGTTTCGCTGATTTGACTGTAGTTATTGAGAGTCAGCATTAGCAGCAGCACGTTTTGATTTTCAAGTCAACATGACCGTACCTCGGCAATTCCACAGACCATCTTGACCGTCTTCTTAATGTCTTCGTTAATCTTTTTGACCGCCTTGGCCTGTCCAGGTCCGAGCTTGGGGATTTTCGGGTTATGGGCTGCGAGTAGAATCTGCATCAAGAGGAAGTGAAACACTCCAGTAATTACAGCATCATTGAAATAGACGGCCTGAGGAAACATGCCATTTCCATCCTCGTTGACGTACATGGGGTGGAAGAACCATGGCCTCTCTGCCCACCATCGCTCTTGGCCTTCCTGAAGTCTCTCCCACGCAGACACGCTCTGCTCCTCGGAACCATAGCAGTAGCGGAGGCAGGCGGCGCACTGGAGAATGGTAAGGTTTGCAAAGGCGCAGCAAGAGTCGTCGTTTTGCACAAGGCGCGTGATGTCCTGCAGAGCAAAGTTTGGATGCACCGGACGAGCCTGCATAAAGGCCATGTGAATTTCTTGTCGAAGGGCCACCCAGAAAGCTGCGCGACGGAGGCCAGTGAAATCAAGCACCTTTTCCTGAGCTGCGACAAAGACTCGAGTACCCACGAGATGTGACTCACCTGCCATGTCTGCAGATGTAAGGGGAACGTCCATCTCTTCCATATAACGGAGAATGACAATGGCAGTCAGGAGGTTTTCGTCCATGACCGCAGCCGAGCTAGACAAGGCGGGGATCAGGGCGTCAAGGCAGTTCTGATGATACCGATCACCAACCAGCCCGTCGAAACCGGCGATTCTGGATAATCGCTTGGCCGAAGCAGCCAGGACTGCGTTCATCAGGGGTGGGCATGTGACGGCTCGACGAGGAACAATGGTGGCAAAATGCCGTTCGTTATCGCAAAGGTCGAAGAGAGGTGCCAGAACGTGGATAAAGTTTTGGAATAGCATTGCCTCTTGCGGATCTTCCAGAGGCCATCTTGGGCTGTTGAGGTAAATGCCAGAGATGGCCTCAGTGACATGATCTTCAAGGGCCGAGAGGTCCTGGCCGGAGTTGTCCAGCCCTGTGCCAACATGGGGGCTCCCAACACTGAGAGCAATGTCGTTGATGACGGGAGACTCGATAATAGGGGATCCCGAGTACCTCGTAAAAGGGCCTGCGTCGGCGGCGCACTGAGAACTCTGGCTAGGTGACTGGGCATCACTAGGATCAGAGCGAGGAGGATTCCTCCATGGACCAGCTGATGAAGAACTCAAGGCTCGCTTCTTTGAGGGGCGTTCGTTGTCTCTGGTATGAGGCGATGCCTCAAAGGTTGGCCTTGAGTTCGGCCTCTCCGGCTCGGATGACTGTCTGGACTCTCTGGATAGGAGACGTTGTAGAGGAGCAGCAGGCGGTGAAGAGTGATGGCTGATGGTTTCGACGTCGGGCCCGATATTGAAGTTTTCCAGAGTATCAAAGTTCCCAGAGCTCGAGTCGTGGATGTTGATGATGTCTGGAGTCTCATCGACAAAGCTCAGAGCCCGATTCGTCTTGACCCATGGTTGATCCTGGGAAAAGTTGTACTCGCGCTTCGCAGCCTCGAGTGTCTTTCCAGACCGAATACTTACAGAGGGATCAGCATGAGGGGGAGGGTCTAGTTAGTGAGTGACAAACCTAGGATTCAGGCCATGACGAAACCTCACGCTATAACCGCGGATGCACTCAGAGTCGCTCTTTCGACAGTTGGCACACGAAGGCTTGTCATTGTCGCCTGTATAACACAGGCATCAGAAACAGAACAGACAGTGTATGGCCATCATGACATGGTCTGGAAAATCAAAGCCTTCCCAGTGAGTGCTTACACTTGAGGTGTCTGTGGCAAGGAACACGACGTCAGACCACAATACCTAGGAACAAGCATGATAGAGGGCGTCCAACGGAGGACATTGCCTGGCTGAGACTCACCTTTGCTTGCAAACCTTGAAACGGCAACATCAGCACACTGTACTGTAGCGAGGTTGAACAAGTGGTGGGTCACTCACTGTACAGGGGTTGAGCGGCCTGGTGGTGGTTGTGCTGGTGGTCGGTGGTTGATTCTCCTGCATGGCTCATGAGGAAACCAGGGCCCAGATGCCGTATCCTCGTATGCAAGGATACCGCAAGGGACAAAATAGAAGGCGTTGACTCGAGTGAAGGGGGCGGTCGATGATGGAGATGAAAGTGGAAGATGAAGGAAATGGCCCCAAGATGGCCAAAAGGGCAATTACCCCTTTTACATCAAACAGGCAAGTCTGCCCAGGACACCCCGCACGCGCTGGAACCCACTAAGAAAAACCCCTAAGCCTTGGGGGGTTGGTCCTCCGCCACAGGGAAGCGAGCCACCACGCGATAGCGCATGGAAGAAGCGAATTAGAAGCTCGATAGATGGTTTTAGCCCTGAACCTTGGGGGTTCGGCGTCTCCACTGGCTCGCCCCTCTTCCCCATGGGGGTTTTGGTGGAGTTTTTTTTTTCGCTTGGGGATCGAGTCACTCCACGATGGAAATGAAACCATCACCAGGACATGGACTTCCCCCATACTCTCCCGCCCGTGGGGAATGCACCTGTTAGTGTCCGTCTGGGGAAAGGCTTGGATGAGATGCTTACCCTGACCCATGGCCTGGACTTCCCCGGACCAATCGCCGAGGTCCAAATGCCGTTATTGTCAAACGTATCCTATCACACCACGGGCCTTGATGCGAGTAATGAATCGTTTGGTCTGAGATTTGGCCCTAACTTCCCCTCAGAGGGAGCTGAGAAGGGCAATATCTCCTCGCATGTTTCTCGTTTCGCCATGTGGTCGGCATGCTCGCCGTGTAACTCACCCTCCATCTCGCCGACTACACACGTTAGCAGGATTTGGGGAAAGCCTCTCATCCTGGCCCTGTATTCCACCTTTGGCCAGGTTCATCAAGTTGTTAGCTCTGGAGGAGGGACGTGCTTCACCTGGAGTAGCATATAAGAAAGCCGTGGGATCGTCGTCTTGGACAACTTCTCATCTCGAACGGCATCCACCCACTTTCTTCACTCTTCTGAGTCTTCTCCACCAGTTCACGCAGCTGCAGCTGGTATTCTTGGCTATTTCTCCCCCTTCTTCTTGAACTCTTTTTACTCTTCTGTCAACTCCTTTGGCATCCATCATGGCAAAGGCAGATCACAAGGAGGGTCTCCAGCACCTCGAGGATGCTGCCATTAACGGCTCCACCCAAGAGGTCAACCTGGATGAACTTGACTCGATCGAACAAACTAAGACGGGCAAGTTCTCGTGGCTCGTCAGCATCACAGCTGCCATTGGCGGCATGCTATTCGGTTACGACACTGGAATCATCTCAGCTGTGCTCGTCTACATCCATCAGGATCTCGGCAAGACTCTTACCTCGCAGGAGAAGGAGTTGATCACCTCAATCACTTCTGGCGGTGCCTTCATCGGCGCCATCTTTGCTGGTGCCACGGCCGACCGCTACGGTCGAAAGGTTGCCATCTATGTCGGTTGTGTGCTCTTTACCCTCGGTGCCATCATCCAGGCTGCGTCCTTTTCCGTCATCCAGATGACTGTCGGCCGCCTGGTCGTTGGCTTCGGTGTTGGATCCGCTGCCATGATTGTGCCCCTGTAAGTAACCACCCATTAGTCTCGAGCTGGCTGAGCGCTAACACGGACCAGATACATCGCAGAGGTGTCTCCCGCCAAGTATAGAGGACGTATGATTGGACTCGACAACATGTCTATTACCGGTGGACAGCTCGTCAGCTACGGCATCGGAGCTGGCTTTGCTTATGTCTCTGGCGGCTGGCGATACATGGTCGGAGGTGGTGCTATTCCTGCCATCGTCCTCGGCGCCCTGCTCCCCTTCTGCCCCGAGTCTCCTCGTCAGCTCATCTACCACGGAAAGTCTGAAGAAGCCGCCCAGGTTCTCCGCAGGATCTTCCCCAATGGTACTGAGGAGCAGATCCAGGACAAGGTCCGCCACATCACCTACCATGTCGACCAAGCCAAGGCTCTCAACGCTGGCAAGTCTGGCTGGTGGGTGTTCAAGCAGCTCTACGTCGTGCCCGCCAACTTCCGCGCCCTTGTCTCTGCGTGCGGTCTCATGGCCATCTCTCAGCTCAGCGGCTTCAACTCTCTCATGTACTACTCTCCTCTCCTGTTCTCCCTCGTCGGCTTCTCCAACCCCGTCGCTGTCGGTACCGTCATTGCTGGAACCAACTTCATCTTCACCTGGGTCAACCTCATGCTTGTCGATCGTGCAGGTCGCCGAAGGATCTTGCTTATCACTGTGCCCTTCATGGGTCTGGCCCTCGTCATTGCTGCCGTGTGCTTCAAGTACATTCCCATTAACCACGACCTATCTCTGGCTGCCGACGCTGAGATCGGTTGGCCTGCCATTGTTGTGCTCGTGAGCATGGTCGTCTTTGTGGGTTTCTACTCGTCCGGTATCGGAAACACGGCCTGGCTCTCGAGCGAGTTCTACCCCATGGAAGTCCGTGCCATGGGAACCATGATGCTCACCATGACCTGCTGGGGCTCCAATATCATTGTTGCTTCCACCTTTTTGACTCAGATGGAGAATACTACCCCCTCTGGTGCCTTCGGCTTCTACGCCGCCATTTGTATCCTGGGCTGGGTCTGCATCTACTTCTGCTACCCCGAGGTCAAGGGAATGACCCTTGAGGATATCCGAGAGATCTTCCAGCACGGATTCGGTGTTCAGCGAGCGAGGGAGATTCAGAAGGAGATGAAGTTGGCCCGAAAGGAAGAGGTTTCTGGTGAGATGGTCAAGGCCTGAGTGTGGCCGTGAGGGGTGGGGATTATATCTTCGCGAGGTGTCGATCTTGGATCTCGCGTACGACGAGCCTCTATGTAGAGTTTGGGGATAGTTCGCTTTTCTTTGAGAGCTAGAATGTGTAGAAGTTCGTGTTCAGATAAGACCTTTAAGCTATTAAATCCTGTTAGTTACAACCGTTGTCCCAACCGTGTGAGCTTCTCAAGCTTTTGTCAAGACCCTAACGGGGCCGACCACGTCACTTAGCTGCTTTGAGAGCATGAGCTGAAGAACACCGTGTCTCAATGGTGTATAGGGGGTGCCAACGTGTAAGGGGTACCACAGACATGGTGCCTCGTAGTTGGGTTCCAATTGGACCGTACCTGCTTCTCCCATGTTAATGACGACCGTTGGAGAACGTGTCATGAGCATCATGAGTTAGAATCTAGCACGTACTAGCCAGTTGGCACATCGTACGGGCACCCCGTAGTAAGAAGTCATGAGGCATGCTTGGAGACGGGTGTCGTGGAGCAGTGATAGGCAACTCGAACAGAACAAGAGAACAAGAGGTCAATACAGTTATTTCTCTCTGAATTAACCAGTATCCGTTTATCTATCAAGAGACTTAGCATCGCCAAACTTCACATCCGAGTCATCTGATGAACTACACTCGGGAACTTGATCTCAAACTTCGGCAACTTTTTCTCGAAGCGATCGACCCCAAGCCACGGACGACGAATCCGATTGACGAATTGGGCAGCTTCCTAGTCAAGAAAAATGCGGGGAAGACATCGGCCAGCCAATCCCGTTTCAAAGACTGGAGACGGTGAAGAACGAGCTTGTTGCAAGGATGGCGGTAGGATTTTCCCATGGCAAAGGGGTAACGTCATGATCCGAAGTCGCTCCCTCATGAGCAGCCCGGTCCTTCCTTCTAATCATGTCGGGGGTATTTTCATGGTTGCCGAGTCATGGAGGAGAGTGCGGAGGTTGAGTGGAGGCTTTGTCTCGAGCTTGACAAGGGGTCATGCAGCCATTCCCAAGCGCATGCCCATATTCAGTAGGAGGCGCCGAAGCTCGTTCGTGGATACTTACTTATCTTGGTAAGAGAGAGAGCGTCTCCTCCTCCACCGGCCCCACCGCATCTCGAAGCTCTCACACACAAACAAGGTCCATGTTGGGAACCAGATGAGATTTCAACTCCATTTCGACACATAGTCATTGGTCGGCCTTTTCGCCGATGCGGATGAGACTTGTCGATCTTGTGACTTTTTTCGCTTCAAGCCACGGGTCGTGTCACCGCTTGGACGTGGGGTAAAGCCTCGAGTTATGTAGCTTCTCGACAGAGATGTACGGGTTTGGAGCTCCGATGGTGGATGTCGCCTCGGCGATGCGAATCCCGATGCTCAAGGTATAAGTCTAGAGAGCTCGCTCGTCACGCTTCTCGACTGGACAGCTCCTCTCATCTTTCTCTGCTCTTCAATCTCATTGCTCAAGGTGTTGTTTGTCTGATAAAAGTATACCCGCCTCTGTACCTGTCCTCCCCCAAAGTTACTTTGGACCTACCACTCTTCTCTCTCAATCCCAGCTTCAATCCTCCCCTCCTCTTCACAATTCACAATGGCCCCCAAGCTTCAGGTTGCCGTCGCTGGCCTCGGCCGCATGGGTGCTCGTCATGCCCTCAACTTCCACAACAGAACTCCCCGAGCTGAGCTCGTCGCCGCCTTCACTCCCGTCCAGAAGGAGGTCGAGTGGGCTCACGTCCACCTCGAGGGTGTCACCATCTACACCGACTACGAGGAGATGCTCAAGCACCCCGGCCTGCAGG